TAGAATAGAATAGAATAGAATAGAATAGAATAGAATAGAATAGAATAACAGAGTTGGAAGGGACCTTGGAGGTCTTCTAGTCCAACCCCATGCCTAGGCAGGAAACTCTACACCACTTCAGACAACTGCAGTAATTGCAGTTAACTGCAGGGTTGTGAGAATTGAGTTGGCCTTGGTGCACTCACTTACGTAATCATTGCTCCTCAGAAGACTGATGGTAGTCCATAAGTTGAAAAAGGCTGCCTACCTGTTTCTTTTACCTGTTCTTGAGATACTTAGGGGTGATTTCCATGGGAACCACAAAGCTGGGTTCTTTCATTCCTATTTTTAAAACAAATACCTTGTTTGCTCCAGATTCTGTAACCTATTATTATTTTTATATTCAAGCCACTTTCCTGGAACAGCCATCATCAGACTATTTCTAAAGTTCCTGCTAAAATAGAAGAGACCTTAGGAGCTTCACATCTTTTTAAATATGCCAGTTGGACAATTCTAGCTCAGTAGGTCCTTGATGGTAGTCCATAAGTTGAAATAGACTGCCCACCTGATCCTCTCTGCATTTTGCCCCAAATAATTGTTGATTCATTTCTCCTATTTAGGGACCTGACAGTGTCTCGTCCTGTGAGGGTGGAGTTGCCACGTTCTATGGTGGAGGTGGTAACCAGCTGGAACCTACCAATGTCACGATGGCTAAACTCCTGTGAGAATGCTTATATCTGTGTTGTCTTTAGGACACTTAGCTTTAAGTGCCTGTGCCTAAAATCCTGTGCCTAAACTCCATCAGATAGAGGAGGTCATATTTCTGACTCAGGGGTGTCAAACTCGCACCGTCACATGACGTATGGCCAAAAATTTTCTTCTTCACTAAACTGGGCATGGGCGCAGCCAGTACGTGGTGAGTTTGGCAGCCCTGTTCTAGCTTTTCGTTCTGCTCTTATTACTAAGAGGTTTCAATAATGGTTATATGGGCTGAGGGTGATGGGAATAATCTAAAAAAACAGGATGAAGAAAAGCTAGGCAAGATGCTTCCTAGTTTTATGCATCTTTCGGTAAGTGCAGAGGTAGACTAGGGATGGTTTTAAGTTGAAGGTATAAACCAGAGATGTCAAACTCAATTCCACTGAGGGACACATCACGGTTGTGTTTGACCTTGGGGTGTGTGTGTGACCAGAGTGGGCGTGGCCAACTCGACATCACTCGTTTCAGGGGTGCCTGTGGTGGCCCAAGCGCTCTGCTAGCAAAAACGGGCTCCAGAGATCTGTTTTCAGCTGCTACGACCTCTTGCACATATGGCCCTCCCAAGCTCCGTTTTCACAGGCAGAGAGTTGCAGGAGGTTGTGGCAGCTGAAAACAGAGCTCGGGAGCCCATTTTCTCTCACAGAAGCAGACAGGCCAGTCCTTCGCTATTTCCAGGGCTGCCCCGAGGGCGAGATCTAAGCACCCCGTGGGTTGGATGCAGCCCCCAGGTCTTGAGTTTGACACTCCTGGTATAGACTTTCAGACATTTCTAAGTGAATTGCAGTGAGATGGTTGATTCAGTCACAGTTTGGTCAGGATCATATGCACTTTCTGCTCTCACTGTGGTTTATAAATGATTGAGATCATACGTTAAGCCAAGTCTAAACAATTGCACTTTGAGTGATAACAATTTTGGAGTTGTGATTTAAAGAATGGATAACTTGATTGGTGTGACAGAAGATGGACTGTGAGCCGTGCTTACTAGCTTTTACCTCTACTGATTTATTATGTTCATTGGATTTTGCCCCTCACTTACGTGGTCTGAAGCTGTGGGGCTGCCTTTCTAGATGTCACACGTGATTTTAGAATCACTTCTGAGAAGTCTGCTTCTGTAGGACTGTGTCTGTTGCAGCACGTGGGGAACTGTGAAGTTGCATGCTAGAAGCAACACACACACACAAACCTACATTACTGGTGATGGGATTCTAATCATACAGCTGTAAAAAATATATAGCTAAAGCTAATTTTTGACAAATGCCAAATAATTGTCTATTTTGCTAATTTGTGTCAAGAGATACAGGGCCTCCTATGAAGTCAGTTCTTGATCAGCAACATCCTCAAGCCAGAAATAGGGAATAATCATTACAAGGCATAATTAACCTTCAGGACTCATTACCAAAAACGTGATGGCCATCAGCATACATGCTTTTAAGCAGCTTGAATAAGATCACAAAGGCCATGGCTACAAGAAACCATTAGATGGAATGAAACTATTCAGAGGCAATGTTTTTATGAAAACTGATGGCTTGAGAGATACCAGTAGCTTTCAAAAGGATGCTAATAGTTCAGTCTCATAGAGGATCTGGACATATAATTCCTTAATGATTGGAACAATGGCCTGGAGTTTTTGGAGAGGACAAGAAAAATGACTCAGGTGACCAATTCCATCTATTTCAGATGTCTTTAAGAACTCCTTGAAATTGGGGACCTTCTCGGCCATCATTGTAACTTATGCAGCTAGTGCCCTCTTACATGTGAGTATCCCTTTATAAACTCATTCCCATATTCCATTTCTGCATCTTTGGCAGCATGAACAAATCTTTAAAAATCTGGATGCCAAGCCTTAAATGTTGTCAAATTCATGTACTGTGAGGAGATCTCAGTGCATCATTATATAATGACCTACAAATTCCATCATCTAGTTACTTGTTCCATCTCCCCATACGTGCAGTAAGAAGTAAGTCAGGTAATATTTAGGAGAGATTGAGCAAGATAGAATGGCTGGAAATAAGCAAATAAATAAATAAATACATAAATAAATCCCTTTTTGGAGTAAAGTCTGCTATTTCCTTCTTGCACTCTCTCTAGAACCTTTGACCAGGTTCTTTCTTAAAGGCATGTCAACTATGTGAAGGTTGGATTTATGGGAGCTTTCAGGGTACAGCAGATTTATTTCCTCAGAGGATCAATAAAATTTCCTCCCTGCCTCACAATTACCAGGGGAGTTTTCTTTGCACTGTCTCCTCAGTGCTCTGGCCTGGCTCACTATGGTGGATCTTCACCTTTCCTCAGACCATATTGCTCTGCTCCAGACTCTTGCCCCACCTCTCTGGCCCTACTTTGCGTGTTTGGAGAAGCTCTAGTGGCCTTTGTATCATTTGTTGATCAACCAAATGGGGAACAAAATCAGTAAACCAAAGGAACGGCAGATTGTAACAAGCCAAGGAACAAAATAGGGTATTGTTTGTATCGTTCAGCTGACCTTAACATTGTCAGAGCTGCCATCATAGGCCTGAGCTTTGCATTCACTAGCTTCAGTCTGCCATAATGGAGCCAATATGGAGGAGGGAACTACTGTTCATCGTGCTTTCCAAAGGTCAAAGTGCAGCCCCCATTGAAGAGACAGTTACCAAAACAATGTATTCAAATAGAATTGGACAATAAGGGACTAGCAAGGGGAAGGAACTGGACAGGGAAAGTTAACCAGGAAAGTTTGGTGTGCAAACATCAGTTTTGGCTTTGCTGTACTGTAATCCACTTGACTTTTAGTAAAAGTATACCTTTCATTACAAATGGAGTCGAGGGTCTTTCTTAATTAAAGGACAAAGTTGGGGCACCTCTGACAAACTTGTTCTTCCTTCTCCTGTGTTTCCAGGTTATTTCCTTTTTGTTGGGGGCGGGGGGGGGGGCGAGATCTGTTCATATGAGAAGAATTCCTGTCCAGTTTTGATGTGGCGTCTTGAGAAATCAGTGGTCCTGGCAGTTGTTCTCTGCATCTACCTGTGCAAAGGGGCTTAGAGATGGCTGTCCTAACTACAATCTCATTTCTTTTAGGGTCTGAGCTTCCATCTGGCTGCTGTGTTGTTGTCGCTTGGCTTCATCACTTACATTGAACACGGTGAGTAATTCACTGCTGTTTTTCTCCTGCTGAGGTTGTCTGCTTCCCTTTCCCTCCTCTATTGTCTGGTTGCTATGCCAAAGCCATGTCAGATAAAATACTGTTTTATATATTTTATTGTTGCTTTTATTGTAAACAATAGCCGCACAGCATTATAAATTTAACAAATAAAAACTAAAAAAATAAGAATATAATAGCTAAGAATTAAGGTAGCATCCAGTGAAACATATTCCTTAAAAAGATGGGAAAAATCATTCTCCTAACATTCATACTAGGAAGATTTTGATCAGCAAGTAAATTTTCAGCCGGCACTTAAACAATGTGATAGTAATGCTCACTCCTCACAGTTTTAATGTGGGCACCATCATCACAAAAACCAGCCTGTTAGGAAGTTGCCAGATGCCATGTAGCAACTTTCATTGTCTTTAGAAAAACATCCCCTGATAATTATTGTTAGATTTTTATCTAATTTTTCATCTCTTTATCTCAAGGCTGCAAACATACTCATGCTTCCCATTTCCCCACAATCACCCTATGGGCTGAGACTGGACTGGCCAAAGTCACTTAGCCAGCTTTTATGCCTAAAGCAGTACTAGAACTCACCATCTCCTGGTTTCTAGCTCAGCACCTTCGTATATCATACTGGACCACAAGCCAACAAGATCTATAATTAACTGTCTTGAAATGATCTAATGACAGATGCCATTTTGCAGTTCCTTGTACACCCTGTGGCAAACTTTTAAGTTTTGCATTTTTCTCTCCTTCATTTGGGAGGCAAAGAATATTTAAAGCTGCTGTCACTGCAGATAACAAATTGGAATGCTGCATTGAATCCCAATATAGGAAATTCGTTTGAAGCAAACATTTCTTAGTTAAGCAAACCAAGAGTCAAGAGCTAAATCTTGGACAACTTTGAGCACCATTTTGCTTGCCTGATTTCCATTTAGTTCTCAGAAAGAGGTTGTCTGTCATCTTTGATGCCTGTATACTCTCCAAGAAGTGTCAACCAGGATGTTCACATCGGAACAGCACGGTAAGTATATGCTGAAATCTCAAGGGATGAAATGCTTTTACACCTAATGCGAGAATAATGTTCTAGCATGAGGTGTGCAACTTTGACACTGTAGGACTGCATATGGCCCTTGGTTTCTACAACACATCTGCAAGAGATGGGTTTATACTTCGTTTGCTCATTGTCTCTCCAGTACACAAGAGAGGAAAAGCAGAATGTCAGTGAAAGAATCCCTACCCACTTCTGACTCTGGCCTTGTCTAATCCTTGTGTCAACCCTATCCCCTGCAGCCTCAACTGATTGTGCCAAAGATTGTACCTTGGGTCTAGCACAGTGGTCTGCAATCTTAAACACTCAAAGAGCCATTCCCCACTTCCCACAGAAAACAAAACATTGGGAGCCAATAATTTAACAACCAGTGTGATTGGGTGAGCGTGGCCAACTTGATGTCACTCACTCCCATCCAGTCACCTCCTGCTCTGGAATATTGAGCGAGTCTCCATCCCCTGCCATCACCCTTACCTTCTCAGGCCAGGTGAGGAATGACGGGGAGGGGAGGGGCCAGCTAGTGGTGGGGTCAGCTGACAGGAAGCCGCAGCAGAGGGCCAAAAGAGCCGCATGTGGCTCCAAAGCTGCAGGTTGCAGAACCCTGGTGTAGCAGGATCCGGCCTTCCTGATCCTGAAATCTCTTTCAGCTTTTGGGTCTGTAGATCATTGAAGCCTGATATAACAAGGCAACATGTTGCTGCTTATATGAAGCCTCTTGACTAGGCTGTTTCTCTTGGTGGGTGGGGAGTGGCGGGGTGAATTTCTGCCCGTTTACAGTTGGACTGAACCTCTGATGCTTCTGCTACTACAGAATCTCTGGGTTCGTCTCCTCAACGTGCTCTTTGGGGCTCTCGCTGTCTTCCACTTGGCCTACTTAGGCTCATTATTTGATATGGATGCCGATGAGACTATGGAAGAACAGGTGAGCTATCCAGGATAGCGGTGAGTGGCAGAATAGAAGTTTTATGTCATACCCGTATTGGACATATTTTTGGGAGGAGTCCCCAAAAAATGTACAGGTAAAAATGTACTGATGAACAATCAACTTTGTGTCCAGTCTTTGCATTTATGACCTTTGCAGGTCTGTGAAGTAAAGGAAAGCTGAAGTGAGATTATAACATAGTTAAGGTTTCACTTAGTAACCACTTCGCTTAATAATTATTCCCAGTCCCAATTGTGGTCATGAAACAACTGCCAATATTATCTGAGAGACCCTTCCACCCCTTTATTTTAACCTAGTTGATCTAATAACGTGCGGATGTGCCATACAACAGCTAATCTCATCTCATCTGCATGAGGATGACAGCAAGTTTAGGGACCGTCCACCAGGACTTCGTGAAATTTTCCTGCAAATTCAGAGGGACATGGAATCATCTCTGATCTGCCTTTCTCGTGATGTCTGAAGCCAAATCAGAAGGAAAGCAATATGCCTTTGCCACACTGTGGTAGAGCAGACAAAGATGGTATTGGGAAATGGTGGAGATCATCACCATCATCCAGACCACAGACAGGTTCAGGTAGACCTCACTTAACCAATGGTAATTGAACTGTGTAAGTGACACAGTTGTAAAGTGCAATGTCAATCATCACAACTGCAGTTACCGCAGCCCCAGCTGCTGCTGTTGGGTGAACCTCATGGAGCTGCAGTATCCTCACGGTCATGTGACTGCCATTTGCAACTCCCTGCCACTTTCCCCATTTAATTTGCTTGTCAGAAGCCAGCAGTTGAAGGTTACAAATGGCAGTCACGTAGCCTTAGATTGTAACTGTGAGCTAGTTGTGGGGTGCAAGGTTGTAACTGTGAGCTAGTTGCGGGGTGCCCAAATGGTGATCCTGTGACTGCTGGGCACGTTGCAAGAGCTGCCATTATAACTAAGGATCACCCGAAGTTCCCCTTGTTCAGCTCCTTTGTGATTTCAAAGGATCATTGAACATGTGGTTGTTCAACAACAAATGCCTATAATTTAAAAGGGAGGGGAGGAAATGGAGTGCTTTTGTCAACCTTTTTATTGCCACCAGGTCACCTGCTTGAGTTAAAAATGTTCAGTTTAGAGCATTGTTTGTGCATATTGGAGCACAGAGTACCTCTATTTGAACTAAGTGTTTCTCCCTTTCTGCAGTGGTTCACTCATAAGATGATCTCCAATGTCTCATCTTGAAAGTTTGTTCCTCACCCCATCCCCACACACCCAATGGCCAACTTCGTTTTCATGGAAGGGGACACCTTTATTTGGCCTAATTTTGCTTATGGCAACCAGCTATGGGGAAACAAGCATTTATTAAGGATGCTGATGTTAATCAGATAATCGGATCTTTGTTTATTACTTGCATAAGACTGCACTAAGTATTGCTGGTGCCTGTTGAAATGTATCTTAATTAATCCTGAGGGATGAAAACTAAAAAAAAACTGCTAACAGCGAGAGCAATGACAGAAAAAGGAAATCCCTCAGTGCAATCATGGTATAGAGGGAAAATCCCACTAAGCAAGGCTCAGCCTTTCTGAACGTCATTGGCCATCATCTCCAGTTAGTCTGGAGGTAGGTCAACTGCCAACTTGGCTGTGACAAAAGACTAGGCCTGCGTATTTATTTGAAAGGAGATTGTCTAAGCTCTTCCCTGTCTGAATGAAAGCCTCTCCACTGTCAAGAGTTGTCTGTGCCAGAATCTGACTTGGCTGATGTGCTGCTTTTCCCTCTAGGGCTACGGCATGTCTTACACCATCAACAAATGGTCTGAGTTGAGCTGGGCCAGCCACTGGGTGACCTTCGGGTGCTGGGTCTTCTATCGTCTCATCAGCTGAAGCAGGATTGTCATGTGAACTTGAAGAGATGGAGCAGGGGATGGGTGGAGAGGCAGAACTGAAGACTCCTCACCTTCAAGGACATTGGATGCCCACCATCAACTTGAGTGCCATGCATATTGACTTATTCATTCTTTCTCTGGGATGCTGATGGAGGGAAGGGGCTCCCCAGCAGTTCAGTTGTGTGCCCTAAAGAGGGGAGGAACATGCGTCCCATGTAGAAAAGGCTGGTCGAGTACCACAGTATTTTCCTGAATACCTATTTTTAAAAAGCCTTTTCTTCCTTTTCCAACATGGTCTGCACTACAGTATCTATAATATTCTTCCATTGGCTTCCTGGGGCTTGTAGGAGTTGTTATCTAGAAGGTACCAGATTGCCAGTTCAGATATTATACCTCTTGTACCTTTTTGAGGAAAATCTGGCTCCTGCCAGGTCCTTGTTAACACTCCCTCTAGTGGTAATTGAAGAAACTGCACCAACTTTCCCTCCCCTCTGAATTGTTTTTACTGCATGTTTTTTTTGCCTCTTTTTGCTCTCTAGTGGCTGCAGGTGGGAGCTGCACCCGTTGCTTCCGAGGTACCTCTTATTACTCCTTATGGAATTCTGTCTTTGGTGTAAAGTCTGATGATTAGCCAGTGGGAATCATGATGCTTTAAACAGCATTGAAGATGCTGTTGATTATCTTTATAAATAGGGTAGTTTGTGTAGATGTAGTAGCTTTCTCTGTTTTGCTTCTTGGATTTTTCAGACGATCATGGCAGAAGCATTGTTGAGGCCAAGGCGAAGAGGGCTGGAAAGACTGGAAAGAAGCACAAGCAATTCTAACTAGGGATAACCCTCAAGGAGAACCGAACCGTTTGAAATGTTCACTATCTGAATCTATGGAATTCCTGTTCATTTCAATTTTTATCCGCTGTGATGATGGGGCAGAAACTGGCAGCGTTTTTTAAAATCAGAGTGTAGCTGCCTGCTCAGATATTTAATTCAGTGTCAAATTCTGCACAGAAGCTTAAACTGCACTAGTAATAGCATACAATTGATTTGGATTAATTAATCTGGAATAACGCTTGCTCCATAGTTGAATATATTGTGAATAAAGTGCCCACTAAGGGTTTTAAAAAAAGGAGGACAGGGAGAGGAGAACCATCGTGCCTTGACATATGTTACCCTCCTGTCTTTATAAAAAGACCAACAGCTTATTTGAGTGGAGGAAGTATTCCCCAATTTCTGTTACACAGTATTTACAAGCTAAGGATTGCGTTGTTTCCTTTGTCATCAACGCACCGATAATCCCATGGCAGGATCTCTCCTGAAATGCATACAAGCTGTATACTTCCTGTTAGAAGTACCACCCTGTCATTGGAGCAAAGAACGAACCTTTAACCTGTTTTTGCCAAGGGGGAGGGAGGCAAGATCACGACTGGGAACCACAGGATCAGAATGTTCAACATGGACAATACCTAATAATGGAAATTTGGAACATTGAGCAACTCTCTTCTCCTGGAAAGGGAAGCTAAATGCAGACAAGCCTTTTACACTGGACAAATAGTCATCAACTTGCAACCTTCATTTCTTATTTTTTTCAAAATTACAACAGCATTAAAAAAATGACTTAAAACTGATAACACTTAAAACTTGTCATACCATCCCCACAGTCACATGATTAAAATTTGGGCGCTAGGCAACCGACGTGGTTGTAGCAATCTGGGGTCATGAGATCACCATTTGTGACCTTTGTGGCCAGCTTCTGACAAGCAGAGCCAATGGGAGAAATGGGATTCGCTTAATGGCCACCTGAAACACTTAACGGCAGCGATTTGCTTAACAGCCACGGCCAAAGAAAGTTATACAATTGGGCACGACTTACTTGACAACCACCTGGCTTAGCAAAGGAAAATCTGGTCCCAGTTGTGATCCTAGGTCAGTGGGTCTGCAACCTTAAACACTCGAAGAGCCATTTGGACCCGATTCCCACAGAAAACACCAGGAGCCACAAAACCTGGGTGAATGTGGCCAACTCAACATCACTCCCACCCAGTCACATGACACCACTTCCACCATGCTTACCCAGGTTTTGTGGCTCCCAGTGTTTTCTGTGGGAAATGGGTCTCCCTCCCTCCCTCCCTCCCTCTCATTTCTGTTTTTTGTGTTTTACCTTCTCAGGCCAGGTGAGGAGTGACTGAGAGGGGAGGGTGAGGGGCGGGGCCAGCCAGTGGTAGGACCCACCCAACAGGGAGCCAAAGCAGAGGACCCAAAGAGCCGCATGCAGCTCCAGAGCCGCGGGTTGCTGACAGCCACCCTAGGTTGAAGATTACATGTACTACGGAATTCAGTTATCTCCATTTGCAGGCCCAGCAGAAGAAGGTGGTAGAAGGCACTGGACCGCTCCAGGGATGAGGAAAGGTGTCCCTTTTGAAAATGCTGCTCTTGGTTTTTAAACTGCACATACTGTTGAAATAATAGAAATGAGCCCAGCAGGGAATAAGCTGCCCTTTTAAAGCGGTGGGGTACGCATCATCCAATGCAGCCTGGAACAGTGCCATTTCTTCTACCTCATGAGGCATCCATAAAGCAGGACTAGCCTGCAGAACATCCTGGCCGAGATAGGCTTCTTGGGCTCTGTGATTTCAGACAGCATAGGACAGGGGTAGGGAAACTTGGCTCTTCTATCCCTTATGGACTTCAACTCCCAGAATTCCTGAGTAAGTCATAAAAAGTTCCCCATCCCTGGCCTACTGGTTTTTCAGTTTTTGGGGAAAT